TACAAACAAACACTCCCTGTTTTCGGGAAATCAAGTTTTCACCCTACAGGAACCTGGCTCAAGAGGTTGATTTCTCTCAAGCTTGAATAATAATTCAGGCTGTCATGGGGGATGAGGGATTGTGCCTCGAGACGAGCGAGAGCTTTTCGTCATCGTTGTTTGGATCTTTTTGAACGAGGAGCGTTCATGTCGACGACGGAGGCGTAGTCTACATCGACATGAATGGTTGATCCCTCTTGCACAGGGGTCTGCGATGATCGTTCATCGACCCATTCAGCAGCCCCTAGACCTGCATTCTCGAATCTCGGCTCGGCCTCAACTGGTTCGGGGGGAAAAACCCCCTGCCTCGACTTGGGTAGATCCCTCAGGCTTAGTTGCCTCGGCCCCTTGGGGCTGGGCCACCCGCACGACTCTGCAGCCATCACAAGATGTGTTGCCGCCAGAAGAGGACGATTGTAAGTACCCCTCGAATTTGATCACAATGTACTCAACAGTAGTCCCTGTAGCAACTTCGTCAAACTGCGCCACCACCAATTCATCTGAATGAACGGATCCTCCCACTGTGGTCGCCAATCTTCTGTAGGTATAAATTCTGATCTCCCGAAAATAAGGAATTTCGTTTGTATTGATAAGAACAGCTTATTACAAACTAATAATCAAATGTTTATAACAGAAACGGAGGAAATGCCCTCCTTGTTTAACGTGGGTTCCTCGGTGGCGATAGGATGCCTCGCTCGGTACTCGTGCCGAGTCTGCTTCCCTTGGACGATCTGATCGAAGTTGCTGCCGGAGCTTTAATTCTCAAATGAGTGAACCTTTGGCAAAAGTCCAGGTTCAACCTTTGGGAGATTAGCCAACAGAATATGCAACAGCCAATCCCTCCTTTCATGCTGGCTGAAGATGGGCTTTAATAGGCAAGGGATGGCATGGGTCATCCCTTGATTCGTGAGATTTGACCACTAATAGAGGTGAGGAAGCCAGCCGTCCTAGCTGTGAGATGTGACCACTTAGGGAGTCCTGTCAGCCGCCCTATTCTTGCTAGGTGAGGAGCGTCATGCTTTCTCCCTTGATTTGTGGGATTTGACCACTGATGTAACTGTTCCCATACTCCAAGTGGGCAGTTGACAGTGAGCTGGTGAGTCTGCAGCTTGGGACTGTAGGTAGACTTGGGTCTGCAGGTCAGTTTGCTCACGAGCTGAGTTTGCAGGCAAGCTTGGGACTGCAGACAGACTTGGGTCTGCAGGTGAGTTTGCTCGCGAGCTGAGTCTGCAGGCGAGCTTGTGACTGCAGGCAAACTTGGTTCTGCAAGCGAGCTAGGTCTGCAAACGAGCTCGGGTGTGCAGGCAGACTTGGGTCTGCAGGCGAGCTTGATCGTGCAGGCGAAATTCGAGCTGCAGGCGAGCTCCTGAGCATAGATCGAAGAATAGGCCGTAACTTTCAAACTGTAAGTCAGAATTGGACGAATTATATATGAAAATCGTCTATCTCGACAAGACAGAACCATCTAAACCTAGTCAAAGGCTTCGGTTCGTTTCCTCCGTTTCACCAAATTCCTTACGGTTTGGGAGATATCTGCGTTTTTCCCCTTTTTATCAGTGTTTTTTCCCCTTTTTGCTATTTCGGGTGAGGTTTTAGCAGTTTTGTTCTGAACTTCTCTGATAAGGATTAAAGACATTTTTTATTACCTACAATGGTGTTCTAGATTTAAAATATTTGTTAGATCTAGGCATTTCGATTTATGGAAACTCATTGATAGTGCATATGTTGTGCCCAAATTAGATAAATATATTTGGAGCACAAATGATAAAAGAATGCTTGTTTTGAACAAGCTTTTGTTAGAATTTTTGCTAAATACTTTTGACTCATCTATTGCTAACAAGCTTGCTCATTTTGATAGTGCTTATAATTTATGGAAACATATAAAAGCATATCATGATAACTTGGAGGAACTTCAACGCATTCCGGTGGAGTCCACTTCAAGTAATATTGGAGCTTCATCTTCATTGTGCACATGACCACTAGGCGATAGCCCTAGTGAGGTATGTGAATCTGATTCCGATAATAATCTATCTATTAATGAACTCACATGTTCTTATGATAGATTAATGAAAGCTTATAACAAATTACATCATAATTTTGTAGATTTAAAAACAAGCATGTTCTCTTAAAATCCAGTCATGAGGTACTAGCAACTAAGTTTGATATCATTGCTAGTGAAAATATAAATCTTAAAGAAAGCAATGAAAAATTAAAAATGGATATTGCTAGTTTATCTCATGAGAAAAATGATATCATGTTAGAAGTAGAAACAACTAGGAATGAATTTAATTCTTTTAAAATTAATCATGATTGTTCTACTTCTATTGTCAATAATATCATGCCAAACAATAAGTTGAATAATGTTAAAGGTCATACTTCTTCTTTAGATTCAACTCTAACTAAATGCATCGACAATCATAAGAAGCTTGTGAATATGTGTACTAAGTCTAATGCAAATAAGTCCACTCATTATGCACACATATATAGTAAAATTTATAAGTGCTTTATTTACAGTCGAAAAGACCATCTTACTAAATTTTGCTATGATGCACATAAATATTTTAATAATACTATTTCATGTGCATCTCATAAAGTTTCTATATCTCATATACATACACATGTACCAAATAGTCATCATAAGCATGTTAATATGTACAAGTGTTATTTTTGTGATCGTTTTGGTTATTTGACCAAGTTTTGTTTTGATTTAAAGAGGATTTCTTATTTGCAAAACAATTTCCAAGATAAACCTATTTTTATAAATAATTTTCGTGCACAACTAATTGGTCAACATAAATCTTTTCAACCTTTTAATTGCACTCATTACAATCGAAATGACCATTTATATGAATTTTATTTTGACCATGTCCATGCATCATATATGCCCAAAGGGATCATAACCCTAGGGCTTTGAGCTTTAATAATAAGAGTCATGTCCCAATACTCTTCGGTGCTAATAGTAATTGGGTATCAAAATAAGTTTGATTTCTTTAAGAACAATTTTTTTATTTTTAAAACTTTTTTTGTTCTTAAAGATGATTATTATTTGAGATTTTTGCAAACAATTCTAAAATCTTTAAAAGAAAGTATTTTAAAATATATATATATATATACGTTTTATATTGTTAATTCAAAATGATTTTTGGATCTTCAAAACCATAGTTCATGTTTCTCATGTATTTTATACTCTTGGTTTGAACTATGTTGTTTTTTATTCTTTTTTTATGTAAACGATGTGTATGTCTTTATGAGATCATTGTAAAACACTCTTTTGATGATATTTATGCATTTGTACTTAAGGGTCGTTAATTAGTGCTTTATAATGTATTCTTTATGTGGTTTGATTAAATTTATCCAAGAAATATTTCCTTTTGCTAATGAAACATCTTTTTATTTATTTATCATACTTTGTTTTAAGTTTATATATGAGAGGGTTTTTTTTTTGAGCAACCCTCTCCCCGAGGATTTATTGGTTATCTATGTTCAGATCATATTTACCGGGTGCTATATGTTTATATGGGCTGGAAAAACCTTAAGAGCTTGATATGTTTATATGAATGCCTCTCTTGTATTTTATTCAAAAATTTATATTGATTTGTTTTTATGGGATTTTATTTGATTTATGATTTCATATGAGTGATTTGTTTTTCATATGGATTCTCATGAGTGATATGATCGTCATGGTTCTCATGATTCATTTTCATTTAAAAATATTTTTTTATGATTCTTATGTTTTTCATTCTTTTGATTTCATAAATCTATTTTATACATTGTTTTTATGTTTGTATAATAAGACACTATTTTCATAATGATATACTTATATGTGTCCTCATTGTCTTTTTTGTATGTGAGTTTTGCCTAGCATGTTTTCATCTATGCTTGCTCACATGTTTGTCATAATTTTTATTTCATATATTCTTTATGGCTTTTTGATAGGAGAGTTTTTTCCTATTCCATCTATTATTTTTATATTCTCACTCATGATTACATGTAGAGGGAGCTCTTAGCTCTCATTATGTATTTTTCCCTATTTTTGATAATGCCAAAGGGGGAGAAAAATATGAGGTATATAGTATTTATTTTTTGGTTTTTATTGTTCTTATAATGCATATTGAAAAATTGTTTGTCATCATCAAAAGGGGGACATTGTTGGCCTTCTTATTTTGATGATGATTTAACAAACAATTTATAACTAATGTTGGTTTTAGTATTTTGTTTTGTGTTGTTTAGTATACACAGAAAAATGAGCTACATTTATATTAAAGTCTATATAAATCAAGTCAACTAATCAAGTTTAAGCTTCATATGATTTATTCTTGGTATACTTAGTATAGGTTTATATATAATGAGTGCAAACTCTTCAAGCTCAAATTTACACACACAATTATTTGTGATATTTCTCAAATCATATGTGTTTTTATGCAAAATATATTTTAATATGCCTTGGACTATACAAACATTATTAGCATATATTATTAAGTTCATAAAAACATTACACAAGTTTTCAGAGCTTGATTTGAGCTAAATGTCAAAATCAACATGTTTATAAACACATGTATTTTAGTATTTTTGAATATTTCTGAGATTTTACAAATAGTAAGAGAAAATTAAAAAATTCCTTTTCCAACATGTTCATATTCATGTTTATAAACTTTTTCTAAATGTTTATATTTTTTAGAATTTGTTTGCTATTTTTAAAAAATGTTTGAAATTCGTGTTTACTATTCATTACATGCTGAAAACATGTTATCAGTCGACTGATGAAACCTCCTGGAATCATCAATAACTTCTGTTTCTTATTCGATCGACTTACCAGTCAACTGATGAGGTCATTGGTCGACTGACGAGTTCAGCAGTCGACTGATGACGTATTGCTAGCATGTAACGGTCAGCTCATCAGTCGACTGATGAACAGTATCAGTCAACTGACAGCCTAACGGCTAGTTTTTTTTAGCTTTCTGTTTTTATCTTTTTGCTGGGTTTTGTTGGTTTCTTCTTGGCTTTGGGGTTTCCTATAAATACCCCCACATATCCTCAGTTCATTTTAACCAAGATAATGTTTTAAATAAGTTTTTAAGAGAGTTTAAGTGCTTGTTTAGTTTGTTTAAAAAGTGTTTAAGAGTTTGTGTGTGAAGAGAATTTCACAAGAGCTTGTGGAGATCATCCATTGGTGTTTGAGCACTCAACTCATCTCCCTCTTTCTCTCTTGTCATTCATTGGAGAAGTTTTCTAAACTCTTTTCTAGCTATTTATTTATTTTGATTATAATTTCTATTAGCTAGAATTATATTAAGTTTAGTTTTGATTTATCTCTTTATTATACACACCCACATTAAGCTTTTAGTATTAGCATATATTGTATAATTTGAGGTTGTGGGTTTGTGTCATTGAGAGTGAGTTTTCATTGTGTTCTCATCCATAGTAGAGAACAAATTATTGTATTGAGCTTTTATTGTGAGATTACTTTGTAATACACTTGTACACCGAGAGGAGTGTGTGGTGAGAGACGAAGTTGTCCCAAGAGGAATGACGTCGGTAGTAAAGCCTAGAGATAGGTCGTAATTCCGAGCACTTGAGGATGACACGGGTTAGAGACCAACACTTAGAGGGTGTAGAGTGTGATTGCAAGAGTGTAGATTGTAAAGTTTTTAGTGAGTTAGAAAACCGAGTATGAGGTGTAAACGTTATTCGGGTGAGCGTTGGAAACCCGATTGTGTAGTGGATTCTCGCTGGGAGTGGGGAGCGCAAACGTAGGACGGAAGGTCCAAACTCCGTGATCATTTTGCTTGTTTGAGTTTGGTTTGGCGCACTTATATTTTTGTTCATCTTTATTGTCATTCTCCCATTGTTTATTTTATCCAACTATATTGTTTACTCTTGTGTTTATATCAATGCATATATCTCATAGTGTATCTTATTTGCTAGGATAACATATTAATAAGTTTTTAATTAGCATTAATATCGGATTAGATTAGCATAAACTCTATTCAACCCCCCCCCCCACCTAGTGGCATTAGGGTGTTTTCATTTTCTATGTTGGGATTGTCACAATCTCAGTTAGCAACCAAAATTAAGATACTGGTCGCTTATATTTTTCCTATTGGAAATTAATTTTGTAATAAATTCTCTTACTTTAGCTAATAATTCTTTATATTATGACATCTTACTAGATTCTAATTTCTTTCAATTTTCATTTGGCTTCTCAGTTTTACCAATATCGTCATGGTTTCCCTTTTTGTATTTCATGATATGCGTAAGATGTGCTTACCTTCATGTATATCCTCCTAATTTCGTTATGCAATTCATTGGCTGTAAACTTGACGGATTTAAATGTTTTACTTTATCCTGAGGTTGTCAGAACAATGAGTGTTTTATCCTATATGTCGAAACACACAAGAAAGTTTAATGATGAGGATATAATCGATAAAATTTTTATCTTTTTTCTTTGTTAGTTTAAAGTATATTATCTTCCAAATTTTTATTGCCTCATAAATTTTACGTACATTCGATAATCTATATTGAACATTAAAGAATCAGTAGAGTTCATGACTCATGAAACTTTTACAATCTATCACAGATAAGGGACTTACATATTGCCAAAAGAGTGGAAGATATTGGGTTTTATGCAGGCTTTGTTGGTAAGCCAATGGGTGATATGGATACAAGTATCTACTGTTCAATTCAGACTTTACCAAGTTCATACTAACATCCATATTAAAGGTTCTTCATACATGCTTGGGAGAGCTTTGACTTCTCTTGTTTGGGGAATGGTAGCTGATAGATGGGGAAGGAAACCTGTCATACTTAATGGCCTCATTTCATCGTACTTTACTTATTTACTAAAGAATTAATGTTCATTTTCCTTAGGTTTTCTTGTGTATTTTAATTTTGTCTTGTTTGTGTTCCAGGGTTATATTTAACACCCTCTTTGGATTGAGTGTAAATTTTTGGATGGCAATTGTTACAAGATTTTTTCTTGGAGCCATGAGCGATTTACTTGGCACGATAAAATATTCACTGTGTTTCTACATCGATGAAATTGGCGCACTCCTTATTCAAGTTTTTTGCAATTTGGCTTTCTTTTCAGGCACATATAAGTTTGTCGACCTGAGCATGAATCCTTCGGACTGTCCTTGGTATGAACCTTTAGTGTTTACTTTGCTTGGTAGTATTGATGAGGAATTAATATCGTGTAATCTAAAACATTTAAAATGTTAGCTTCTATATCCTCAAAAGAAAAGAGATTCTTTCGAGGGGTTCTAACAGATCAATTGGCGTCTTAGTTCAGGTTAGTACAGTATGGGGCTCAGGTCTCATTATTGGTCCAGCTCTCGGAGGCTTCCTTGCACGGATAATGCAGTTTTCAATATAAAACAACTTACACTGACGTGTTTCAAATGCGTACATGATTGTGATCTACTCGGACTTCACTCAATCCTTTTCCAGCTTTTTAGCTTCAACATCCTCTCCACATTAGTGTTAAAATCCATATAAACATCTACTCGGTTGTTTAGTTCTTAAATATTGTTGAAATATTTTGTGCATTACAAATCTATTCTTCTTAGTTACTATATGTTTTGTCAGCCTGCAAAGAAGTTTCCAGGAATGGTTTCTGAAGAATCATTTCTAGAAGGTACTTACTTGAATCTTGGTTGCTTCATTATTGCTCTCATTCTTGCCAAACATTCAAATGTTTGCAGGTTTTCTTACTTCTTGCCGTATTTCATTATATCGCTGTTTGTCGCTGGTGTGCTTAGTGTCTGTTTTTGGCTTCCAGTGAGTAACAGTCTCACTTATACTAGGATCACTTTGAAGCTATGTTTCTTTTAAGCCTATATTATTATTCGATAAGGCGCGTGGCTACCTGGAAATAGTAGGTTTGAACACGATTTTTTTTTCCAACTTTAATTTGGTTTCATTGTATTTATGATTATGCAGGAAACGCTGCACTATCATCCTGAGAGCAAAACAGCAGGCGGAGCAATCGAACCTCTGCAGGCATGCCTTACTGGGTCTGATACGGGAGAAAAGGATGTAGGAAACGAAAAGGGGATTCAACCTAATAAGGAAAATATTCTCTCAAATTGGCCACTAAAGTTACCTACCATCGTATGCTGTGTTTTCTCCCTTCGTGATACAGCCTACAATGAGGTAAAACTTTATATTTTAGCATGTTCTTCTGAATTCTGTCCCTGCACTTTTTGTTCATGAGGTTAGAACGCTGAAATTGTAGTCTTGAATGTAAAGATATGACCCCTTTTGAGCTTTATATGTAGTATACGATAATACAAATTTCAGGTATATTCTAGTAGTTTAATGACATAATTCTGTGAGAAATACTAGAATACATCTCATTTAATAATAAACATGCAGACAATTCTATCCATGACGAGTTCATTTTCATCATTTAATATTTTACTCGTTCTTGTGTTCTTTTGTTGATCTGTTATTCAAATTTCATGTTGAACTTTTTTCAGATATTCTCCCTATGGGCTGAAAGCGATAGAAAACTTGGAGGGTTGAGTTTTTCGTATATGGATGTTGGTGAGGTTCTGGCAGTCTCAGGTATATAAATGCTAAAACCCATATTGTTATACAGTCGTTTTCCCGTGTTGTGCTTGTTTGTTTATTGCCGGACTAGCATGATAAAAGTTTCGATAAGATTTTTGAGAGAGTACTATCAATTACAGCTCTATTTTAATTTTCGTGGAGGAAAATGTTAGGTAGTTCACCAGTTTTACTCATGATAATTATACACAAACGTGCACCCAACCCACCCACACACACATAAAACATGCACACACACATATACATTCACACATATACAGGACATCCAATTGTAGTTCCTCCATTCATAGCCTGGTTAATGTAAGTAATATTCAACCTTTAAAATACATTAGCGAGGCCTAAGGTTTTCATTCGATCAAACAGGATTGGCATTAACCGCCATTATTCATTTATAGCTTTCTTATCACTGGTTATTTCTTGGGTTTTCAAAAGAATTCACTTCTAGTTGAGTTTTCGGATTGGGTGATATTTCTGATAGTAACTGACACTAGGAAGTGAAAATAAATCAGTTCACAAGCTCTGTAGATGTAAATCAGGACATGATGACTTATGTATTGTCAATATTAATTAACTAATCCACCTATAAAGTGCGCAATTTTACTTACTGCTTGTCTATGTACAGGTTTTAGTCTTGTGGTATTTCTACTGTTTATTTATAGGATGTTATGACAAATTCCCCAGGATAAGCTAATATCAATCACATGAGAGCACGCAAAATATCAAGAATAGACGAACACAAAGATATACTAGGTTCGGCTTGTATCCTACGTCCACGGGCGAAGGAGGAGAAAAGCTTTACTAATTGTGAGGAATACAAAGTGGAATCTCTCAATCTCTCAATCACTCGATCCTAAATAACACCCCAAAAGCCTAATACAACTCTCAACTAAAAGAACAAAAGAAAAGAATATCAAATAAGCTTCACAAAATAACTCTCTCTTCTTGATTGATGCTCTGAAGATTGATGCTTCAAATTGGCTTGAAAGACTGTTCTTATATAGTCTTGAAGATCCTAGCTCCTTGTTGTCTAAGGAATAAGAGTTCTAATAGGAATAGAAGTCCACATGTCTTAAAACCCAACAAGAGTCCACGTAGATATAAATTTCTAATTTGATTGGTTGTGCAAAGTCTAATGTTAGGACTCTTGATCAAAACAAACCAAGCTGAAGAGGAACTCCCAAAGCAATATGGATTTGAGTATTTGAGGCAACCTATAATAAAGGAAAGCTCGTTGGACCCATCACTTTAACATGTGCTTCAACGGTGTGCATCACTCTGTTCTTTTTTTATTGGATGTTATCATTGAGATAGAGACCTATCGTTATGCTTTGCAATTCTGATGTGCAGATTCTCACTATACCATTAGTTATCGCCTGCCCATTTATGTCCAAGCTTTCAGGATCCATACTTTCATTGGTGAACTGTGCATCCATATTGAAGAATGTTCTTTCTGTGAGTATAAATTCAATTATTATAAAACATTTTCGTTACGCAGTGATAAGCAGCTCGCATTTCCAACTTTAATAGTTAAAAGGCTTTAGAATTAATATATGCCACTCTTCAGTGATAAGCAGCTCGCATTTCCAACTTTAATAGTTAAAAGGCTTTAGAATTAATATATGCCACTCTTCGGCAAAAATTGAGTTACATTGTTGATTCTTAACGCTACCATGCCTAACTTCAGAAGTTTGGCATGCTTTGCTTTCTGAAACCAGGTAGCTCTATTCACCGGCTTGTTCATCTCGCAGAACAATGCAGTGGTAATCTGCAACTTATATGTAAAACGCATTTGTTCATATTTTATAAGCATTTATTGCAAGACTACAAACTTATTATCTTGGCATTTCATTGACAGCCTCAGCACCAAAGAGGTGCTGCAAATGTTATTTCAATGACAGCCCAATCTGTTTCCAGGGCTATTGCTCCAGCATGTGCAGGAGCTTTGTGAGTATCTTTACTTCTGCTAAAAGATCAGAATGCGCTATATACAAGATCGCTACGTATAAGATCATTGTCCCGCCAATTTTTTTCAGAGCTACCACTTTCTTAAGGTTAAAGCAGGTACATCAACATGTACAAAGGGGGTTAGCCACTTATTCACCCTAACTTCCAGCATTTTGCTGTAACCCCCCAATAACGTCTAAAATCACACTAGACCCACGATAACTATTGGAATTGTAGAAAACTCTCGTGACGCCGTCAGTCCACATTTAGGATCTAAATGTTTAGCCAATGCAAAAATGTAGACTGACACTGTCGTGAACATTTTTTATTAGCCCTTAGACCCTCGATGTCCAACTGGAGTAGTTATATGTTCCTGACTACATGAGGCGTATGTTTTTAATATGTATAAGACAATAGATACTGAAAAATAAGCAACTAAATAAATATTATGGAATCCATTTTGCAAATGAAACTTCCATAAAAGCCTATGACTGACATTTTTCATCTTTTTTGTGAAACTAAAATATCCTGGCCATAACATAGAACCGTTCCTAGTTCCAGCAAATATATATAGAATAGAACAAGGATAGCGTCCGCATTTGGACATAACAAGCAAGTAATATCATTTTCAAGTGCTCTTCGTTGAAATAATGGAAACGTAATAACGAACATGTGCTCTTTATACCAATGCTCAAGAGACAATTGTAGTGAAAACATCCAAAATATCTGGTATGAAGAGGTTATTTGATATGTTTTTTGTTAGATGTTTACCTGGATTTCGTATTTTGAATGCAACCATACATGCATGCCTTACTTTTTTTTTCTCAAAACTCAACTTTTTGGTCGCTCGATGGGGTTATATAGATGGAGAAAGTAACTCGTGGGAACCGCAACAAATGTGTAACTCAAAGGATGTCAACCCTTGGATCTATGCATGAATCCTGAAATTCAGTGATCTAAGGGCTATCATTCATTTGGTACATATGTAATGTGGGTTCTAGAGTTTTGGGTTGTTTATTTCAATGGAGTTGAGAATTTCTGAATGCGTTTGTTTATTTTTTTGAATGATTTTTGAGAATTTGTTGAAAATGCCTATTGGGCTGTAAATACCTGGGGTCTGCTAATTCACTGGCAATCGAAATGTCAATGACTTAAACTTAGGGTCTGTTTAGTTGGTTTCCCTGATTATAGGAAACTTATTTCCGAACATAGATATTGCTTTTCATGTGTTTTTAAAGATTTCTTAAAATTTGTTTGGTTCATCACAAAAAGGGTTGGAAATAATCTCCTCACATCTCTATTGTTTGTTTCACAACTAAAAAAATGAAACTAAGAATAAGAAACATCACTTACTCATCTCTAGAATAGGAAAAATAATAATTACTTAATCCTTTTCCATCCCATTTCCGAACTCAAAGCTCGTAAATGGGCATTTCCTTAAATATGAGTTGGCAGATGATTTCTCTAACTCATTTCCTTAAATCTTATGTTGAACCAAACTGAGGAATAAAAGATCTTTTTGAACATAGATTTCCCACTGTCATATTGTCAGCATAGGAAACTTATTTCTCTTCATCATATTTGCCAAACAAACAGCCAATCGCACATAAGCCTTATATGGACATGGCCCCCGTCTGACCCAAAGCCATATTTAAAAAAATGGCAAATTTTATCATCAAAATAATAAACGAAGGAAACAAATTTTGTTAACAATCATGCTTAGTTGCTCGGAAAGCTCTAATTTTTCATCATAAAACTTTCACATAATATTTTCTCAAAAACAATCTTCATATAACCAAATTAAATTAGCAATAACGTCAACTAGTTCGTATCAGATTCGATAGTATTTTACATGAATAAGTCCCTACCTTAACCCCATATTAATTCCCATATTAATTTTTATTGAAAATAAACACAAATAGAAAAAAAAAAAAAGGAAAACACCACTCCCCTAATCTCTATAGGGAAAGGTAGCGTCCTCTCAAAACCAGCGCTCAACCCTTCACGATTCCCTTTTCTCATAACCGCCCTCTCCTCTTATAAATTAACCAACACGTACCAAAACCACGACAAAAATTAAAAAAAAAATAAAAAAGAAAGGAAGGGGAAAATAAAAACTATCAATGGCTTCAAGTCCTGCAGTTTTACACAAGAAACTCGAAGAACTCGAAGCCCAAATCAACAACATACTCCCCCAAAACCCCATGCAACTCCCTCATAACAACTTGGCAGTCTACCAAATCAACAAGAAATTTGAGTTCATCAAGACCCTTCTCAATGCTGAATCGAACTCTGCAGACGACAACAGCAACAACCATCTTGAAGAGATAGGCAATAGGCTGTCTATCGTCGAGAACAACTTCATAGCTTGGGTTGATTCAGGGGCAGAGAAGACTGAATCAAATTTGAATGATCTCGATGAAGAGATCGCAGAGAGACTGTCTTTCATCGAGAGCAACTTTACTTACTTGAACTCTTCAGATCAGGCCGAAGAAAAAGAGGATGTCGATGATGATGATGATGATGATGATGAAAAGGAAGAAGAGGAGGAAGTAGATCAGGATTCCGAAGTTTCTGATGTAACAGAGGAAGTTATTCTTTCAAAGGCGAATATTGAGAAAATTGTCGCAGAGGTGACAGAGAGAGTGAGAGAGAAGGAGAAGAGGCGAGGCCGATGGTTGACGAGGCTCGGAGTGATGGCAGCGGCAGCGGCGGTTGCTGCAGTTGGAGTGGCGATGGCCGGAATTGAATCAGTGGAAGAAACTGTTTATCTCGTACCTACATAAGTGTATTTTTTTTATCAGTGGTATTTTGTTCAGTCACAAGGTTTTTATGGAGGTTTTAGTGATGATTTAGATTCTTTTTGTTTGGAACAAATTGTTAACAAGGATTTGCGGTTTAATTGGTAATTAGTAGTTTGCTTTTCAAGGTTTCCTGTTACAGATTGTGATATGGATTCGCTCCGCAATGAAATTAGCATAATTTAAATGCATAGGGCTGGGCAGTTGTAAGCTTAGAATCAAAGTTTGGTTAGGTACACTGGTTCGTAAGCGCGTGGTTACTCATAATTTTTGCAAATTATTAAAACTGCAGCTGCAATTATAATTTTATGTGTGAGAATAATGGATGTCGTCCTTCCCACTCTTATCCCAAATCCTACAATATGTGATTCACAATTCATGGAGTCTGGAAGGGAAGAAGACAAATCAATTTGTATGGTACCTCTTTCACCTTGTTTGTACTGTTTCTGTCTTTGTCTGTGTATTTTAGTGAAGAGATCAGCAATCTGCTGAAGTTGGTAAATACCCGTGACTGAAGAAGAATTATGAATTCCTATCCCCTGCAGTAAATATGAACAACCGTGGATTAACTCAGATAAGCAACCAAAGCAAAACAACACAAAGTGCAATTTATCTATATGGCTAGGAGTTGGAACGGTTGAACAAACTTTAAAAAAGCATTCAAAGTCTGAGATTTTGTGCTCCTGAAATACAAGACTTCAGTTTTAAAACACAATCCATAATCATAATAGATTGAATGGCGTAATCTATCTTTCACATAGTAACACAAATACTCTTTAGAAAAGAGAAGTCTACATCTCACAAAACATAAATAGGATGAATAATGTCTTTAGCCTAGACTGGAGGACTTTCAACATCCTTTGTCACGTCCTTCTGAGCATATAGCCAACAAGGGCACTCAGTAGCCCAACAATTGCCACGAACATGACCGAGAAGCCACCGCGATTCTGATGTAGCTCTTTACGCAGTAGGTCCTATAAAAGAATAGATTTTGTAGAGTTAGAACAAGATATAAAGCAGCACTTTATGCTTAAAGAGTATAAATTCTCACAAAATAAAGAGTTTAAAAAATCAGGATATGATGTATCTTTACAGTAATTGGATGGTAAAAATAGGTGGAGAAAGAAATGAACAGATTCATAAACTTCTTTCACCATCATTGGTCATCAGATTGTGTTTCCCTTTATGCGTAACTCTTTTCCAGCCAAACATGTTCTTGTGGAGGCATATGTTTTATGACCAAACAAAGAAAAAATTTGTTTCTGTTCTGACACAGGTGAAGGTGAGATGTAAACCTTCTTCTGGAACTTGGATAAATAAAACACATGAAGCTAGAAAGGCCACAGCATTCAAGTCTACAGAAAAACATATAGAACATGTACCCCCATACATCACGTCTCGTGGCATAACGTAACATTAGTATAAAATGAATGTTCTTGTTGAATTATGGGCCAAGATCAAACTGTTCTAAAACCAGAAATAAGAAACAAAGATTTAGAGAGAATATTCTTCAGTATTATCTGATGAATCTCTCTATCTGCTTCAGCTGGGAGGCGTTCTTTGGTTAGATTTCTTTTTAGTATATTTCCGGTACGCCTACAAGTCCTAAGAAAGACTATCACCTTTCAAACATCATCTTTCAGAGATGGATTTTCCATGCTTTATATATAACCTGGTAAGTTCTATGGAATCTCTCTGTAGGTAAAATACATCGCAAGTAATCTTGAAGGCTCTATACCAAGCACAGGCTAGCATTGGGATACATAACTGCCATTTAATTTATTACTGTTTTACCAATTGATTTCCGTGAAGGAATATACAAATCATGTATACATAACAGCCACTTAATTTATTACTGCATTACCTATTGATTTCTGTGAAGGGATAATCATGTATAAGACAATTTGTTGGTTAACAGTCAAAACAATTTGTGGGCAGTTAAAGACAGAAAACATATTAAAAACAGCTTTTTTTATCACGTGTATAGTTCAAACTAAAGAAGAGATTTGGCGTCCACACATGTATTCATTAAATGGCATAGATCGAACCAGCAACTTGGTGGAATAAAAGATCTAATATCATTACTAGTCAGGCTAGTAAAATTTAAACTAGAAAAGACCAACATACTTTAAAAATATATGATAAACATGTCATAGGAACTAAAAAAAAACATACCAGTTCTTGTCTAAGTTTCTGATTTTGCTGAAGAGCAGAAGTTTTATCCTCTGTCAACTTGGAAATCAAGGCTGATGCCTGCAATTTATAAAATACAATTGGATGTAAGCCACTGGAAAGCCAACAGATATTGTGACAGAACATAATAGAAATAATACATCAAGTAAATCCAAGATAATCATCATCAAGCATAATCTTAAGTCACATACTAAATTGTGTCAGCGAACATCATAGTAAAAATGAGACTCTAGAAAATGTCATAAATAAGTGATTTTTATCACCAGTTGTTTGATGACTCCGGTCTCTGTGAGAGGTGCAAGTTGCAATTTAGAAGGCAAACTTGGTGGGATAAGGCAAAACATGTTCCTTACAAACTACCGCAAAGTATTACATCAGAAGATTCTACTTTTCCAAGTAGAAGTTTAAAGGAAAATTCAAATGAGTGCTTTGCAGTTTAAAAACGCATCAACGTGAGACAGAACAAAGAATACAGTTGTCAAAGAATATACTTGTCCTAATTATGACGTAAGGCTAAGAAATTTATTGTCCTGGCCGTTTCCACTAACTGATTTTGTGGTTGAATGTTCAATATTCAGCTAACCTCAGATTTCCAACTTTTCATCAAAAATCAATTAAAATTAAGGGGTTTGGGAAGCACCAATTTTGACTTCTATTTTCCTCATCAAAATCAAAACATAGGAATTATAGTTGCCTGTAGCTCTTTACTGAAGAAAACAAAAGCAAAACCTTTTAAGTAGATTGAATGAATTAAGTTACATGACCCAGTGCAACAGTTGCTTGCTTTCCAACATTTCCATTATACCTGATAACCGAAACGAAAGGGAAGTACCCAACACAGTTTCATCTATTTTTCCCTCTATATCCATCTACCTTGTTGTTTTAAGGGACAATAAAGATCTAAATTAAAAGAAAAAATGAGCAACAAAATGCAATTTCATAAAATTTAGATTTTTATGGGATGAGGGAACATCTTCAAGGAACTGTAAGAACTGAAGAATTACTTCTCCACTTAACAATTGTCAACATGACTGTATCTCAAACGTAGTCTACCAATCTGAAGCAACATGAAGCTGACAGCATTCATGTTGAAGTATAGGTCAGGACTTTCTTTCTTTCTTGCTTGCTTTCTTTCTTTTTTTCCTCTCCTTTTTTGCTTTGACTCAGATAACGGATTAGCAGTATGAATTTAGATAAATAAGGTTTTGATTTTTTTTTTCCTTTTGCTTAAGAGATCCATGTCCTTGATTGTGATTTGATGTGCATTGTGCACGGACCCATGCATGCACTCAAACTTATCACATGTATTATGCATAACCATGACAAAGTGTCCACGCCGTACCATATAAAGAATTTATCATGCCATGGTGGCCATGTTAACATCATTTACAGAACACAAGAAAGTGCAAATTCAATAAACACAGAACAAATATAACACCCTTTGAAATTTATCAGAAAGTTACAGGCAGTGCATTATAGATAACACGTATAGTTGAAAATGTGGAATTGAAGGGCTTGCGAAGATAACAAACCAGACAGAGGATTCAACAAGAAATATAGTAAAACAAGATTCAGCCTTGTTGTAAGTAGAAATGTTTTCTTTGTCTGGTGTCTATTCAAGAGTGGGAAAAAAACTGATTCTTAAGCGAAGTCTTCTCTCTAGGAAGTTGACTTCATAGATTACGTCAGCCAGCGTGATAGGTATTCCAATTAATCATTAAAACTCCAAATCTCATGGAAAACATATTGGTATAGAATAATTCAGAATAAAATCAAATGACCTCATTCTCTCTTAAATTCTTTGCTTTACCATCTATCCCAAACAAACAACATCAATGGCATTATCCCGGTTGATGTCTTGGAGCTTTGATGATACTAGATGACCATGTTCTCTTTTATTTGTCTTACAATCAATAACCATACATTCTTCTTTTCTTTTCTTTTCTTTTTTTTTTTTTTTTTTTTTTTTTGTGTGACTATCTCATCTTCAAAGGCAATTCATTTGCATCACAGGATGTTCCATATACTAAATGATGAGAAAAGAACAAATCACCTCTGAGGACTTCTCCTTGGACTGTGCTTCATAATTTCTAGTTACCTGAAATATATTGCACACATATTTACTGGATCAGCTATGCTGATTCTTAACTATTTACGGCAAACAACTAAAATAAATAATACGTCTGATAAGTAGCCAGTGCCGTACTTACCGCATCAAACAAGGATGAACTGTTAACTCCATTTTCCATTGTAGAGGACCTAGGCGAAGATCCTTCTTCTGATTCCT